CCACTGGCCATTGTCCATCCCTGGATTGCGATCAAAGTCCTCTACAGTCCCACCTAATAGCCTCTACTCTCCAGAAGAATTGAAAACATGATCATGCAAAAACTTGTACATAAATGTTCATAGCAGCATTATTCATAATAGTCAAAAATTATAAACACCCAGAAATCCATCAACTAACTGATGAATGCATAAGCAAAATGTAGTAAATCCATACAATGGAAGATCATTCACCCTTAAAAAAAAGAAGGAAATTCTGATACAAGCTACAGCATGAATGAACTTTGAAGGCAATATGCTAAGTGAAATAAGCCAGACACAAAAGGACAAATATTGTTGTATGATTCCACTTTTATGAGGTACCTAGGGTAGTCAAATTCATAGAGACAGAAAGCAGAACAGAGGTTACCAAAGGATGGAGAGTCATTGTTTAAGGAGTACAGAGTTTCACTTTCAGTTGCTGAAAAAGTTTTGCAGATGGATGGCTGTGATGGTTGCACAACAATGTGAATGTATGAAACTTTACACTTAATAATGGTCGAAATGGTAAATTTTATGTTATATATATTTTACCAATTTTTTTTTAGAAAGCAAGGGTGAGAAAAAGCAATAAAGTTATGATACATGGTAAAACATAGATGAATTTGAAAATGACATGCTAAATGAAAGAAACAGAGGCCACCATATTATATGACTCCATTGATATAAAGTGTCCAGAATAGGCAAATCCATAGAGACAGAAAATAGATTTGTGGTTTTCAGGGACTGGAGAACAAGAGGAAGAAGGATTGACTGTAATGGCTGTGGGATTTCTTTTTGGGGTAATGAAAATGTTCTGGAATTAGATAGTGATAGCTATACAACCTTGTAAATATACTAAAAACAATTGAATTGTACACTTAAAATGCTGAATTTTATGGCATGTGAATTATATCTCATTTAAAATAAATGAGGATTACTTTAAAAAACTATACTTGGATTTCTTTAACTCCTGATATATGTAATAAACTTGAAATATTCCATCTTTAAAAGCATACAGTCAAAGCCTTCTTCCTTAAGGGAGCATCTTTGACCCAGAGTGTAACAGCAGACAGAATGCCCTTTCCTGTGAGTTACTGAAACTCGTTTTCCTAAGTGCCTTAGTCCATACAGGCTGTTATAACAAAATACATAGACTGGGTGACTTATAAACAACAGAAATTTCTCATAGTTCTAATGGCTAGGAAGTCCAAGATCAAGGTGTTGGCAGATTCGATGTCTGGTGATATCCTTTTTCTGGTTCATAAGACAACTTTTCACTGCAACCTCACATGGTAGAAAGGGTGAGGAATTAATCTCTCTAGGGTCTCTTTTATAAGGACACTAATCCCATTCATGAGGGCTCTACCCTCATGACTTGATCACCTCTCAAAGGCCCCATCTCCTAATACTGTCACCTTAGGAGTTAGGTTTCGACATATGAATTTTGCGAAGACATAAACATTCAGTCTATTGCACTAACACTAAGTACTATTTCTTAATCGGCCACCAATTATTTTCTGTACTGTCTATAAGCTTCAGTGTAAGGATATTTTTTAACTTAAGTTTAAAAAACTTCATATCCATAATGTCTCTGGAAGGATTCACGAGAAAAGCTGGACAACACTGGTTTCCTCCAGGGAGGAGAACTGTGAGTCTGGGACAGAGTAAAAGAGACTCTTTTAGCTGACTAGACTTTCATATCTTTTGATATTTTTTAATCATGTGAATGTATTGCTTATTCAAAATAATAATAAAGCTTTATAAAATAAGTTTACTAAAGATTAAGAAATTTAAAAGACCCCAAAATTTTAATCTAGCTGAGTTTTTCTCATAATCTATATATGTTTTTAAACTGATTTTGCATATATTGCCAACAACTTAAAAAGACAGTTATCTGGAATGACTATTTTTGTGCCAGCTATCATTTCACTTACTGGCTAATTTTCAGCCAGTATTTGGCATGGTTGACCAGCTTCTGTTTCTGTTGATTGATTGGTGGCCTTGCCAGTTGTTAAATATTTTTAATATCACCTTGGATAAAACTCACAGTCTTCAAACTTTTTAATAGATCTTGTTTACTTTATTTTATTTTTTACCATAGCTAATAGAAATGTGTATTTGCAAAGATTACTAATTATCTATCTTCTCCAATAAACTAATCTACAGGGGGGCAGATATGGTTCTACAGTGCTCTTTGTTGCACGTTCTTTGATATTACCAGGCATTTAACAAATATTTTCTAAATGCATAGATGGTACTCTTTCTTGCCTAACGACAAAGTTGTTCCTTAAATTCATTAGATAGTCTGTATACTTTCATGAAAGCCACATTAATGAAGCCCAGTTTACTCTTATTTAATTTTCTCTTTATTTTAGTTTTTAGATTTTTTTGTTGGTGTGTTTCATGAACACCATAAGAGATTGATAACATATGAATAGCAATTGTTTCCCCCCCAAAAAAAGAAAGAAAGAAAGAAAGGAGAAATAGGATACCGATTTTTTTTTTTTTACTTAACATTACTTGGGATTTTCATTGCAGGGATCAAATATTGGTCTTAAAGCTCAATCTATTATTAGAAATAAAGTCATTTAAAAAAAAATCTGGGCATTGTGAGGTAAGGTGTAATATGAAACCTATTCATCTTCTTGGGAAAAAACTGTTACGCAATTAAACACTTCTTTTTTAGCAAAACAGAAAGTGGGCATATGTGTGACAAACACAAGAAAAGAAAAAGAAACCTATTCAATGACAGACAATTTGAAAGTATTTTATGTTTGGCCAAAGAATGTCATTTTTGTTCATACATTTGCACATGGTCCTGTATGTGCAAATGTTTGAACAAAATGTTTTATACAGTGACAAACAAAATAATTAAGAGAAACTGAAAAGCTCTTCTGCTGTTCCATGCTGCTACTTAATCCCTTACCTCTCAAATGTTCTCTGCCCTTCAATCCCTTTTAGGAAGGACAATTGCCTCCCAATCAGCAGAACACAACAGAAGTATTATAGATGAAAGAAAGCATCTCAAACTTTGTCCCAGCTTCTATGTTGTTAAAAGAAATAATAGTGATATTATAGAGAATTTGAAAAAAGAAGATAACATTACTTTTAACTTTAAAATTCAAAAGAGAAACTGGGAAAAATGTTTTGCAAATTGTATGGTAAAGCTTAATATCTGGGATATATAAAGAGCTCCTACAAATCAATAAGAAAAATGCAAGTACCCTTACAGAATTATGGGCTCATAAAATAATGAGAAACATACAAAAATATATAAATGCCCAATAAACACAAAATATGCTCTATTTCACTAAAATTAGAGAAATATAAATTAAAATAATGAGATTCCCAAACCCACTTTTAGTCTATGTGGCAAAAATTTAAGAGCTAGATAATATCCAATGTTAAGTAAGGATTCACTGGGGACTAGGAGGATATACTTAAACACAGTTAGAGGTAATGTAAAATAATAAAGACTTTTAAAAGGCAATTTGACAGAATCTATTAAATTTTTAAATGCAAATATCCTTTGAACCTATAAACCCACTTCTATTTATCTGTGCTAGAGAAATATTCACAGGAGACAAGAAAAGACGTGTTCCAGGATATTGCAGTTTTTGGTTTTTGTTTTTGTTTCTGTGGGGTTTGTTTGTTTGTTTGTTTTTGTATTGGAAACACCTAAATGGTATCAATAATAAATTGAGTAAACAGATCATGGCATATCCATCCTACCATGAATGAATGAGAAAATACTATGCTCTGGAGTTCATTACGTATCAGGACATCTATGGCTATATTTTGTTTGTTTTTTAAACTGCTGTGTAGTATTCCATAGGATGGGTATACTCTAATATATCTGACTGCTTCCCTATTAATGGACGTATGTGTATGTAAATGCATAGAAATGCATGAACGTCAAACTGAGAGCAGTGGTTATTTCTGGAGAATAGAGTGAGATTTGATAAGGAGGATTTTCATATTTAATTCTATATGTACCAATTTGAAACTTAAAACAATTTAATTGTGAAATTAAGTTTTGACAATAGGACTCAGAAACTCAACCAGATTAAAATAATATAACCAATAAGCAGAAAATATCAAGCCCCCCTCTTTATCTCGTCCCTCACTCCCCCATGAGCTTTTCCTTGCCATTCCATGTGAGATGAGTGGAACCTGATGGCTCTAGCAACTGTCCTCACTTCCTGGACCTGCAGCAAAAATCCTTGCGATAACTACTCTGAAAATATGATTTTCACAATTCTATTGAGTCAAGAAAACCCTATTTAAAAGAATTAAAATGATTTTAAATATATTATAAATATGATATGATGTAATGTAATGTGAAAAACGAACTATGAAGTGAGATACCGTACATGAAACCAAGATAGGAGAATGATCCTAGCTGCTCCCCAGTCTCACACATTGGATCCCTGACTACTAAGTTAAGGGTGTTTTTACTTGAGAGATGCTGGGTGAGATGCAGATTATCAAATTCCTGCACAGTTGACTCTTCCGTGGATTATTTACTTTTTGTATTGTTCCTAGCATCTCTTAAATGCCAAAGAGATTTTCCCCAACTATTAGGCATTCTTCTGAGTCATCCTATTCAATTGGTAGGAGCTCAAGGAATGCAAATTAATTTTCTATTAACCTACACAAACACAATTAGAAAGGAAAATCTCTTGAGGCAAAGAACACCTATCAAAGCCAAATTTAAATTACCTTTGATCATTGTAATTAGGAAAATGAGAAACCAATATAATTATCTTTTTAATCCCTAAAGAAAAATGTTTTAATGTTTTCTTTTATAGATTTCTTCAGCATTTTATAATCCCAATGTTCTTTTATATTCATTTTAAATCATTCCTTTTTTAATCTGAGCCCAATGAAGTAGATGAGCTAACCTCAATCATTCTCAATGTATTTGCCATCCTCGTCAATGTACAAACGTAGTAATTTTATGCTTTTCTGTTTGTTTGCATATATATTCTTTTCACTTTGATTTAACCCACATACTTATTATTTTAACTTCACTGTGATCATTTATAGTAATAGTTGCCATATTTACAATGAGTCATGCAGTCTATTAGGAATTTTATACATATATTCTTTTATTTACTCCTCAAAACAACCCTACAATGTGCATATAATTATTCTTAATATATAAATGAGGAAATTAAGACTGAGAGAGGTTGTTAGTGGTGGAGCTGGGATTTAGTAATTTATTTCTAATAAGTATTAGAAATAATAGAATATTGTCAGTAAGACTCCCAATAGTCTCATTCCCAAGTCCACCATCAACATAATGCCACTTTCTCTTACCATGTTGATCTATTATAGTTTGCTTAACTGATCCCCTACTGTTAGACATTTTGGGTTATTTCTGATTTCTTGCAGTGACAGTAACATCTCAGGGAATTTTTTTTTGTAATCGTAATCATCCTGGGTCCCTGTGTAGCTGAGTTTCTACAGAGCTACATAGCAGTAATTTAAAAAATAAATTCCAATTTTCATTTTGTGTCTCAAAGAAAAATAACGGAGGAGCCAATTTAAAACTCTTAATACTTCTCAATCTCATTCCTTCATTCCTTGGTTCTCTCACACTCTAGAACTGCTCAGGCGATGGCTGTCTGAACCCCCAAACTCCCAACAAGCCAAAACCCCACAGCTTTTCTGTCTTCTCACAGCTCCCCATGGCTCTTTATCTTATAGATCAATGCATCTTCTTGGGCCTGGTCCTTCACCTGGTCCTAGCCATTCTGTTCTGGCTTTTCTCGATTCATTTTAATAATCCATCACAAAAGAAAGGAAGTCACCTTTTCTGATATTTGAAGATATGGATTGTGTAGAAATAGGGATAGGAGAAATCAGAAAACACTCACACATGAATACGTTTTTTCTCATTTACTTGTAAGTTAAGGATTTTGGTGTTTTTATTCATTTTGAAATTTTTTCCCCCCTCTTGACTTATAGTCTTCCAAGTGAGATTCCTGGGTCATTGAATAGTGAATAGTTTTAATCAAGACGTATTCCTACTAATTAAAAAAATACATTGTATGACTATAGTGAAGCTGATTTGTCATAAGGCTTGTACACAATACATTTTTGCTTTATATGCCTTTTTAGATAGTGTATTTTATGATCATAACTAAAGTTCATTATAAATTTCTGATTACTTTATAATAACTAATAAATATCTAAATGTGTAGTGCATTAGTATACAAAATACAAGTAGTCCCAAACTTCCCTTTTTAATGGGCTAAAGAAGAAGAGAGGTTTAGACTCTGGTGACGTGGCTTATTCAGCTGGTAGATATTCCCATAGAGCCTTTTCTTGGGTTTTGGCCAGCCCCCAAGTTCTTAATTTTGATCAGTCTGTTTTAGGATTATGTCTGGGGAAAATTGTGAAGTAACCAAAGCTTTTGTTTGGCATGCCCCAGATTACTTCGGTATCTACCTCGTTTCTCTGGCACTCCTCTTTTCCAGGTCCTCCTATCAATATTTCCTCTCCTATCACACCCGTCATTTACATAGTGGGACTTTCAGTCAATCAATATACTTCCCTTCTCAGGGGTATTTGCATGTTACACCGTATCTCCAACTATGAATGCAAAAGTTTATTTCTGGTCTTGGAGTTTAGGACTGGTGAGCTAATACAGAAACTCTGGAGAGAGCTGCACAGGTGCCTTCTCTTGAAATTATATTTTATAAGTATATGTGTTCTCAGTTTATGGATATCGACAGCTCCCAACTTAACTGTTCTTATATAACTGCAAGTTCTGAGGTCAAGTACATGTCTGTGTACACACTCAGGTCTTAACCAGGCCCACACATGTAAATGTGAGAAAGGACAGGTAGGTGGCAAAATATAGAATTTACTAATTAGGGAAAAGAAATACATGGTATTTATTAGGAATAAATTACTAAATTCTCCATGCCATTCTTTTCATCATTTGGAATCTCTGGTATCATACTAAACCTGGAGCTTTTTATTTTCTTTTGTCTTCTTCCCCGCCCCACTCCAGTTTGACAAATGGACAGACTCTCAAAGGAAAAGAATCCTGATAGGCCTTTTGGAACGCTGCTCCCTGTCACAGCAAAAGTTCTGCTGTCGAAAGCTTCAGGAGAAAATTCCAGCAGAAGCTCTGGATTTTACTACCACGCTTCCAAGAGTGTTATCCTTATACATCTTTTCTTTCCTGGACCCCCGAAGCCTTTGTCGTTGTGCGCAGGTAAAGGGAAAGAAGCAGTGTAGGGCGTTTTTTAAAGACAGCCTAGAAAACGCTGAAACTTGAGGAGAAGGAAAAAGCACATACGGCAGGTCCTCTAATAAAGTCATTTCCTTTAACTTTGTTTCATTATAATGTTGATGAGATGCCCTAGGAACTTAACTTTTGTTTGTATCAATTAACCTATGATAAAACTGCTTTCTATACTTTGTTTCACTTAAAGTTGCAGAACCTATCAACATTAAGTGAGGACTTAACTGTTGACAAAGCCAAGAAATAGATGAGATAGTCAGTATGTTTAGTCTGTATAGTTTGGATTAACCCCATCTCCTTTGTGTCTAACTATATTTAGTGCACAAAAGGGGGGCAGAGTATAGGTACTATATTTAGTGCACAAAAGTGGGGGGAGTATAAGTACACAAAAATATATTAGCTAGTTTAGGGGGACAAACACACATAGAAGAAGAGGTTCATTAGCAGGGTAGTTTATATTGCACAGGATACCACTACAATAAAATCCTAAATTATATAGTGCAGGCCATTCATAAATAGAAAAACTCAAAATAAGGTGCTATGAAATATGTACAAAAATATATGAGACTAAAAGAGTTCAGAGCGAACAGATGTGTTCACGGAGGCTTTGGAAAAGGAGGCAACCATTATTTTCTTGTATGTAATTCCATGGTGTGTTAAAGGGCAGTAAAAAATAAAGATATAAAACTGGTAATAATTTTGTTGAATCTTTTCATAGAGTCTAGTAATACCAGAAATTACCTGTTACTGTGCATTCATACATGTGTAGCATGTTAACTTTAGTTTTTAAATTTAAGAAAATAAGTTCAGTGAAAGATGAATTATTCAATAAATGGTGTTGAGACAATTGAACAGCTATCCAAAAAAAAATATCTAGGAGGATAAAAGATTGATACGAAATCAAAAAAACCATTAAAGTACTCAAAACATAGGAAAGGAGGCCTCTGTGAGTATTCTATAATACTTGGAAGCCTTAAAAGAAAATATACAATTTAAGATCTTGCTTTATTCATTTTGTGTATATGTATATCTATATATATTAGATATATGTTCATTGTGTATATTTTATAAACAAGAATAAAGAAAGCTAGATTTTAAATTGACTATAAAAATTAAAATTTTCTCTATAGAAAAAAGCAAATAAATAAATCCAAATAGTAAACAGGAAAACACATATTACCAATGAAGGGCTAATTCCCTTATTTTTTAAAAGAACTCCTGTAAATCTATATTAAGAAGAAGAAAAAATGACCAACAACCCAGCAGAAAAGTGAGAAAAAGAAATGACCAAGTAATTCATAGAAGGAAAGGTGGAAGTTTTTAAAATGTGTAAGATGCTTAGCCTCATTATGTCATGCCATCTTTCATGATTCAGATTGACTGATATATATATTTTTTTTTAATGATAATATTCTATATTGGTAAGGGTGTGAGGAAACAAGAACTTTCATATATTATCAATAGGTAAATTGGTGCAAACGCCATGGAGAACAATTTGGGAATATTAAATTATTGAATAAAGATGCCCTTTGACGTAGCATTTTCACTTCCTGGAATTTGTCTGACGGTATATTTCAACATATGCAAAATTATGTCTGTGTAAGAATATTTGTAATAGCAAAGGTTTGGAAACAATGGAAGTGCCCACTATTAGGGGACTGGTTACATAATTTGCAACAATCTCCAAGACATATCATCAGTGAAAAAAGCAAAGGTACAGAACTGTCCTATTATTTTGGAAAGATAAGGAACACATACACATTGTTAATATAGGCCTGGAGTATTTCTGGAATGACGCACAAGAAGCTGGTGACAGTGGTTACATCTGAGAAAGGAAATTAGTGGTTAGAGGAGGACTGGGATGACACAGACAGACAGAAAGACAGACTTTTTACTGTGTGCCCCTTTGTATTTTTGAATTTAGTATTAATATGCACATATTACTTATTCCAAAAATGAAACAAAATTTTTAAAAGAGCATAGCATTCTTAATGTCTAATAATACGAGAATATTATATAATGAATTATTATGCAGCTATTAGAAAATGTGGTTTGGAAGAACAGGATATCTAGGGTATCTAAAATGAAGAAAGCATGATTTTAAACTGTATATAGTTTTCCAATTTTGTTTCGTATATACCTAAAAAAGAAAAAGAAAAGAACTCTACTAGGTTGTTAATAATGGTAATCTCTGATTTGATGGGGTTATAGTATTGTTTTTCTTTAAACTTATCAGAATTTTCCTAGTTTTCCACAGTAAGAATGTTATCACCCAAGAGAAATGTTTTTTGAAATAGCTAATCCTATCATCTATGCACACCATATGTCACTCTTACAAGATTTCAGCATTATATTTGTTCCCAGTACTGACTGTGAGGAAGACACAGGTAGTTGTTTTTTAGCTGTATGTAAAGTGAATAATAAATTTATTGCACTAAAATGAGCTTGAGCTACTAAAAAGATATGGGGGGGTGTCTTATAGTTTTGAAAGCTATCTACCCTTTAATTCTCCTCATTCCTGTCTACCTTAAAAGATAAGAAAAGAAAAAAACAAAACAAAACAAATAAAAAACCTCATCTACAATGGGGGGAAAAAAAACCCAACTTAAATACCCAAGTCTAAACAATCTCTAAGGAAAAGAATGAGAATTGAAAAAGTTTTCTCCCTATCCCCTTCCTCTAAAAACCTCACCTCTCCACTGAGCTCCGGGTTAATCAGTCATATGTGGATTACAGTTGGTGTTGTTTCATTCTGGGCTTGAATAAAATAGATGTGATTTCTGTTCCTGCCTGGGGGATTTGTCAGATACTCTAACCTTTTTCCTCCTTCAAGCTCTTGAACCTCTTATTTCTTCCAATCGTGCCCTCCTCTGTCCTGCATGTCTCATCTTCTGCACATAAAACAATGCTAAACATATTAGGAATTCAATACATGGTGAATGGAAGGAGGGAGGAAAAGAGGTGATAGATAAATGGATTTATGTATAGCAAGGCCCATTATAGAGTGTTCGGTTTATTTATTTATTTATTTATTTTTGGTGTTCGCATTATTAATTTGTTAATTTGTTAATGAAAAAGAGGCCAGTTTTCCAAGGATGAAATTTGGGTTTGAAAGTTGGACGTCATCTTTGCAACTCTCATAGCTAAGACACAGAACACCTAGTCTCAACTTTATATATGAACTTGATCCTAGTTTCCAGCAAGACTTATTCAAAATGTGGACTAAATTATTGTAAGTATTGATACACATAGGGTCACCTCCACTATTTGCTGGATGTGTGAGACTGGCCATTATGAAAATGAAATGTATGGAACAAATACTTTGTGTGTTATGGAATCTTAAAGGCTACATAAGACACACCATATAGTACCAGTATTTATATTCTATGTATGAAATTTCTATTTAGTTAAATCGTAAGAATGGAGGGAAAATGCATACCATGAACTAAGCAAACAACGTGCAGACCTGAGTTTCTATAACCTTTGTGTAATTTTCATATGAAATTCAGGAACCTTTAGGAAATTCCAAAGTGTATCTGAGCCTTGGTTTCCTTGTTTGCAATAGGAGAGTAATAATTTTACTTACCTCCTTAGATTGCTATGAGGATGGTTAATAGATGCTCAATAAATATTAGTTGACTCTGACTCTAAGTCTGAATTAACCTTTTAAAGAAAATCCTCCTGCCTGAGTAGGAAGCACTTTGGGTAGGAGGTAACTATTTAAGCTGTGATTTAGAGGGAAAAAAATGAAAAAGCTATCTCAGGTCCAGGGTAATAGCTCAAACCCAGAGAAAGTGGACATGTGTACTAAGTAGATTTTTGTTTGTTTGTCATTTTTTTCCAGGTGAGCTGGCACTGGAAGAACTTAACTGAGCTGGATCAGCTCTGGATGCTCAAATGTTTACGGTTTAACTGGTACATCAGCTTCTCTCCAACTCCCTTTGAGCAGGGTATATGGAAGAAGCACTACATTCAAAAGGTGAAAGAACTTCATGTTACCAAGCCTAAGGTAAATTTGGGGCAAAAAGCAACAAACTTACAAACATCAGCTATTTGGGAATTCTAGAACTAAAACTAAATGATCTCACTTCACCTTGGGGAAGAGAGTTGGTTCAAAGGAAGTATACTATGACTTCAAATTCTCCTTTTCTTAGAATTTGACTGCCATTTTCAAGATATCCATGTTACTTGAGAGCCCTCATGTGACACTCCCAAACCACAGTTTCACCCAGGAGGGTAGGACTGTGGAGCGCCTCACTCTGTCCAGGTCCTGGATGTTATATCTCTGACTCACACGCCAGACAGTTCTGATACTGGGACTCTGTGGGTAATGTCCAGTATTTGTTATGTGTGGGTCATCAAGTTTTACTTTACTAATTTAAATTTCTCTGATTCTTCCAGGTCAGCTGAACTTTAATTTTGTATCATTTATAAAGAAAAATTTTCCAGTAAATTAATATTTAGGGAAGGGCATAATAGACATATTAAAGTTCTTTTTATGCTAGAAACTAGTAATGTAAAGCATTTATATGTAGTCATAAAAAGTAAATAATACAAGAATATTTTTTCTAGGGGCTTTCTATGTATTATAACCAATGGTTATATTTATTCTTATAGTCACAGTTAATTAGATAACTTACGAGGAATTTTTATGAGCCTTTTCTCCATGGTATGATCTATACATGTGCAGAGTTGTGCATCGTTTTGTACGATAAATGAGTTCCTGGAAAATTATGTGTAAATTAAATTTTTAAATGATTTTTAAAACCACAGGGGTACCATAATCTATGCAAAAGCTGCAGTGAATCCTTTTAAAATTGAAGAATCCTTTTGAAATATGAATAGTCAACTCCTAACTTGCTCATTTAGGTTTGGTTTTATTGTGTTTTGTGAAAGTAGAATCCATCTACATTTAATGCAGTACTTAACTATGCATAATTAATATTGTTACAATTGCAATGATAAAGCTAGTCGTTCTGATTTCAGTAATTGGTGTGCTCCATGAGATTTTCTTTAAAAAATTTTTTTAAACTGCAGTGATGGAAAAGTTATTTTAAAAATTACCTTAGCTATGACTTCTGTTCTCAAAAGCTTTTTTTGACTCTCATTCTCTATTGTGGGCAGGAATGGCATTTAATAGCTGAAGCTTGGGCTGTTCTGGGGCAGAGGAGTAAAAGTGATTAACCAATTTGTAGAATGAAGAAAGGTTTTGAGTATTATGTTAAACTGACTTCAATGCTTTGTCTTCAGCAATAACTTTTTCCACAAAATATTTATTCATAACTACATTTTAAAATAATGAATAGTTCTGAAGCAAGAAAATTTCTACCTCTTTGCTTAGTATTAAAATTCTGTATAAATTTTTTGTTATATTAAATTTGAGTTTTTCTGTTAAATAAATAGAGCTAAATTAGGAAGACAAAGGTTAATAAAATCAAATAATAACCTTAAATTTATTGGTTAAAGAAAAGAAGTAGATCTAAGTCTATTTCATAGTCAGAAAGACCAAGGTTATAAAGCCATCTGAACTAAGGTTAACAAAATAATCTGACTAAGGTTTTAAAGTCAGCTGTCATCACTATACATACTTGAATAATTTGTGTAATTCCCTGTGAGGTTGCTCCAATGATGCAGAACACAGGCAGCCACTACACGTAGAGTAGAGCATAATTTACCTTCCCTCAAACACCATCACCATCTCCCTTCCCCCCAATACCTGTACCTGGCATGAAAGCATTATATGAACAGATGGTAGTAGTTAATACTGGTTACCCCAACCTTAAATGAGAGGGCTGAACCAGAATGATTTTTATAACTGTAAGGCTATACTATCTACTCCAAAAAACATATTTCAAAAAGCTGTCATCTAGAAAAAAAAAAAGTAAGTTAAAACCAAAGTAATGGAAGAAATAATAGAGCTGAGATCGATGAAATTGAAAATGGTTAAACAGTAGAGAAAAATCAATGAAACACCAAAGCTGCTTCTTTGAAAACGTAAATAAAATTGATGTTTCTAGCTATACTGATCCAGGAAAAAATAGAGGGAAAACCCTATTACTAGTAACAGGTAAAAGAGGGGGACATCACTAAGGATCCAGTAGTCAGTAGGATGATGAGAGAATGCTACGAACAATTCCACGTCCCTGAATTCAACAACCTGGATGAAATGAACAACCACAAATTACAAAAACAGTCTCAATAAGAAATAGAAAACAGGAATAAATATCAATTTAAAAATTGAATTCTTAATTTTAACACTTTTCACAAAACTCCAGACCCAGATAAATCCATCGTTGAATTCTATCACACATTTAAGGAAGAAATACAAATTCTACATAAACCCTTTCAGAAAATATAGGAAGAAGTAACACTTTCCAACTTATTATCTTTATACCAAAACCAGATAAAGATTTTACAAGAGTCTATGGCCATGCTACCCTGAATAAGCCCAATCCTGTCTGATCTCGGAAGCTAAGCAGGGTCAGGCCTGGTTAGTACTTGGATGGGAGACCGCCTAGGAAAACCAGGTGCTGTAGGCTTAAAAAATAAGGGATCGTAAACTGACAAAGTCCTTGCAATCTTTGAGGTCAACCAAGGGTTGCCTCGCCTAAAAAAAAAAAAAAATCCTCAAACTCTTCCAAAAAATCGAAGAGGAGGCAATCCTTCCCAACTCATTTTATGAGGCCAATATTACCCTGATATCAAAACTTGGTAAAGATAACTCAAAAAAAGCAAAACCACAGACCAATGTCCCTCATGAACACAGACATAAAAATTCTTTAAAAAATATTAGCAAATTAAATCCGATATTATATATAAAAAAAGAATAACACATGATGAACAAGTGGAATGTATTCAAGGAGAATAAGGTTGGAATAATATTCAAAAATCAATTGATGTAATTTACAGAATAAAAGAGAAAACGTGATGATTTCAGTATATAAACAAGCATTTAACAAAAAACAGCATTCATTCATGATTTTTTAAATTCTCAAAATAACTTTAGGTGAACAAAAATTTTGTTTACATAATACAGAAAAGTCATCACAGTTTTCATTACCTGTTTTGTTAAAGTGTCAACCATTTCATCATTTTCAGAATTAATGATGTTTATATATAATTACTGGTATTTATGCCTGAATTTCCCTCTGTAATTGATTTTAATTATCATATATTATTTATTCCCATTGGTATTAAACTAGACCTCCTCCAGCAAAAGCGGACTTCATGTAGTATAAGCTCAGAGAAACAAATGTCCATTCTAAATGAGACCTGCATAAAATATTCAGTACTAAACCAATAAATAGTAAGCTGTCAGTTATATAAATATAAAATGTCTTCTTAATCTACCAGATTACAATCATTCATGAAATAAGCAAAAATTTTTAAAAACTGTTATGTGCTGGATGCTAAGAGTATAATGATCCTAACCATTAGAGCCTAGTCTAGTGGCCTAGGACACGGACAAACAAATAGTTACAATACTTAATATTAAGTGCTATTCTGCAATAGAAATATATACAAAGAGCAATTGAAACAAGTATAAGAAATTGATTCTGCTTGGAGGGACTGGGGAATGTCTTAATTTTCACAAGCAATTCAGGCAAACCAATTCACCAAGCAAAGCTTCCCTAATCTCCTTAAGAACAAAAATTAAGCCTTTAATGGCTTTTCAACATTCCAATACCATTTCCCTTAAGCTACAACCACATAAAAACCTCATGAATTTCACATCTAAAAAATAGACTTTGAATATGTGAAAGTAAAGCAAAAGTATTTGGGGGGGCGCGCAGATGAAGTTTCAATAATTGATAAAATCTATAATCTACCCCTATGTAACTTGAAATTGTCTCTATGGGTTATAGGTAATTAGGACTGGAGTACTTTTTACTTTTTGAATGTATCTGTTTTATGGATAAATTAACTGCAATTGTGGAAAAACTATACAATGGTGCAGTAGAAAGGTTCGGTGTGTGAACTTGAAACAAGTCAGTCCTAGATTCGAATTCTTACCCTGTGTCTTACTATTTCTTTAGTAGTGGGCCAATTATTGGTTTATTCTTTCTTCAGTTTCCTCTCTTGTAAAACGGGAGTAGTAATGATTACTTCTTAGAATTATCATAAAAGTTAAATAAAATAATGCATGAAAACTTCCTGAGACAGTGCCTGGCACTAGCAAGTACTCCTGGGTTGGCGGCTGCTATAATCAATGTCACCATTATTATTGCCATTGTGGTGATGATGATGGTGAAGATTTTCTTTGTTTTGTTTGTTGTTGTTATTATTACAGTGTGTTAAGAGGAGAGATAATTAATTTTCTTCTTCCAGACACCTCCCAAAAATGGGCTTGTGATTGCTGATGTTCAACCAGTTCCAGGCAGTTCTCCAGAGGAAAAACAGTCTCCTTCATCAGCTTTCCGCTCCTCTTCCTCTTTAAGAAAGAAGAATCACCCAGGGGAGAAAGAACTCCCACCCTGGCGGTCCTCCGACAAGCATCCAACCGATATCATTCGCTTCAATTACCTGGACAACTGTGACCCCTTCGAGCCAATTTGGCAAGGGTGAGAAGCTCCATGCCCTTCTACACTTCTTTGTTTTTAGAAACAGTTTGTTGGTTCTTCAACACATGAAAAGATGAAAATAGAACTTACTGTGAAAAACGAATACTTTTTTATACATAGAAGCAAAAAACAATTGAAAAGCAAAGAAGCCATTATTGGCAAATTTGCCCTATTTGTTAGGATTTGTTTGCATTTGTAGTTGTAATTTAACACTACAGGGTTTTTTTTTTTAATATTTTAATATCTTAGAGTCCAATCAGGCACCATAGGGTTCATTCTAGTCTTTTCCTTTTCCATTCTTGTACCTCCCTTCTCTGACAATAAGAAACCTAGCTCTCACATGTATTTATTGTTTACTATATATAGATTATATATCATATATATGGTATATTATACATTGGCCCTTGAAAAACACAGGCAGTAAGGGTGCCAATCCCTGCATAGTCAAAAATGCAGGTATAACTTTTGACTCCTCCAAAACTTAACTACAGTCCACCCTTCACATCCGCGGGTTCAACTAACTACAGATCGAAAAGTGTTTTCCTTTTGTGGTTGAGAATCCATGGTTGGGAATTGGAAAATAACTGTTTTTGATCCACAGTTACTTGAATCCATGGATAATAAAGCCATGGATTCACTGAAAAAAATCTGTATATAGGTGGACCCGCACAGTTCAAACCCTTTTTATTCAAGGGTCAACTGTATATACACATGCAATTTTGTATAAAAATTGTGTTATGTATATATAAACACACATACATACAGAGTATAAATTTACTTACAAATTCTGAAAGTAATATACTATACCATTATTAAAACAAATCTACTAACTGGAATTCAATATTCGTTTATGGTTCTTTTTTGCCTTTAGTCTGAGGGTCTATACTTATAACACTGTGTTCAAAATTTAATGTTCTTTTTTTAAATATTGCCTTCAGTGTGGGTCTATTACATGGTTCTAAAGTTAAGACTTATAAAAGTATACAAAAGTGTATGAAAGTTTTACTTAGAGAAGTACCACCCTCTCTCTTCCCCTCTTCCCCTACCTTGTCATTTTTTCCACCTCATTCCCACTAACACATCTCATTCGTTCCTGGTTTTTTTTTTTGTTTGTTTATTTTATTGTTGCCTTTTACACAAAGTTATAAGAGATATAATTTTTCAACTATCTTATCGGCAAAAACTTTAAAGTTTGACACTGTGTTCTGTTGGTGAGGCTATGAGCAAACAGGTATCCCTCTTACATTGCTGGTAGGAATATCCATTGGCACAAACTTTATGGAGAGAAATTTGACAATACCAAGAAAAAAATCATATGTATTTACATTTTGACCTAGAAATCCCATTTCTAGGAATCAATGTTGAAAATACCAAAAGTACATCTGCACAAAGATATTTATTGCAGCATTGTTTCTGATTTTAAAATATTGGAAATAACTGCTCATATATAGGAAAGTGTTTGTTGAATTAACTACATATGGTCCATTCACATAATGCAGTACTAGGCAACTGTAAACATGAATGAGGAAGATCTCTATATGAAGAAGGACTGAAGAGGAGTGATTTCCAGGGTATATTGTTAAGTGAGAAAAGCAAATTGCAAAAGAGTATCTATAGTATGCTACCCATAGTATAAAAAGAAAGGAAAGTAAGAAAATCTACATCTGTATCTGTGTGTACATATATATCTATGCATTTATTAACACACATACACAAAGAATAAACAAGATGTTAATAAAATAAATTTTGAAATATTTGAATATATTTCAACAGATTCACATCAAGGCAATATAGGCTAGTGACAGTGTACACGCTCTGGAGCCATACTGCTTGTGTTCAAATCCAGGCTCCCATACTTCTAGCTGTATGACCCCGGGGAGGCTCTTAACTTCTCTGTGCCTCAGTTTCCACATCTGTAAAATGGCAGTAATAGTAATACCTAAGTCATAGAGTCACTGTGAGGATTAATATATGTGGCATGCTTACGATAGATCTAGCCACATAGCAAGTAAGCACTTCTTTTGTAGAATGGTTCCTAAAATTATATTATTTGGCTAATAAGAGAAAGTGGAATCCCAGAAGGCTTGATGACTTGGGGATATTGAGATTATGTGTGTGTTTCTAGGACCGTTGCAGTCTGATTGGAGGTGAGATGAGGTGATAGTGGTAACCCTCATGAAGCAGAAGTTGAGCTCTTTGAGAGCACAGACCATGCCTGACTCATCTTTACATTGCCAGTGGCTAGCATTACAATACACATTAAATGCTTGATTTTGAAAAATATGTAGCCATTGATTCATGAACTTAAAATTCATTGAGTTATATCAGAAAAAGTCCAGTCTACGGCCATGCCACCCTGAACATGCTCGATCTCGTCTGATCTTGGAAGCTAAGCAGGGTCGGGCCTGGTTAGTACTTGGATGGGAGACCATCTATGAATACCAGATGCTGTAGGTGTTAAAAAAAAAAAAAGAAAAAAGAAAAATCCAATTAGTTTGCTGATAATTTAGAAAGTACTGGGGGTGGAAAATGAGGTATAAAACAGTTTAAAATAAATATTATCATTTACATTAAAAATGGGTGGAGGTGAAAGAAAATGTATAAATTTGTCTATACATAAAATATCTCTGGAATATATACAAGAAACTGATACTATCTTTTGCCTTTGAGGAGGAGAGCTGTACGTTGGAGACAAAGATGGATAGAAAAGTTTTCACTGTATATCCTTTTGAACACTTGACTTTTGAATCACTGCAAATATATTGACTATGTATTGATTAATGTATATCTGGGGATTGTACTTAAGAGTTTGAATGAGGCCCTTAATCTGGTTGGTAGATGAGAGAGAGGTAAACTGAGATACTCAAGCATATGAATGGTACATTAACATAAAATAAATTCAATCTCCTGAGTGTTCTGTGAGACTTAAATACTATTTAGTAAAGGCAATAACTACATTAAAAAATGTACTGAACACTCCAATTAAAAGGCAGAGATTATCAGGATGGGTAAAAAGGCAAGAGCCAACTATATGCTTTTTACAAGAGACACACCTTAAATATAATGACACAGATAGGTTTAAAGATAAGTGATGAAAAAAGATATACCATGCAAAGAGTAAGCGTAAGAAGGCTAGAATGACCATTAATATCAGATAAAATGGACATCGAGACAAAGAATATTACCAAAGATAAAGAGGGGCATTTTATGATGAGACAGGGATCAACTAAACAGAAAGACATAACTGTTACAAATGTGTATGTACCCAATTACCAAGCCTCAAAGTACATAAGGCAAAAACTGATAGATCTAAAGAATAGAAAATTCCACAAACACATTTGTTTTTCAAGTGCATGTGCTACATTCACCAAAATAGACCAGATGTTTGGACTCTTCAAAGAGTGTCATGGGAACAAAAAGAAAAAAGAAGTGGGGAAAATGTTCTAGAACCTAAGAGATATAATAAGCAAATGTAATTTGAATCTAGATGGGATTTGGTTCAGAAGAGAAAGTTATAATAAGCATTCTTAGGATAATTGAAGAAATTTGATATGGACTGGGTATTAAAATGATTTTAAAAAAATACTATTCATTTACTAAGGTACAATGATACTAGTGTGGTTAGGTTGGTAAACATCTTTATCCTGGGAGATGAGTGTTGAAGTATTTAGGGGTGAAATGTCTACCATTTACTTTCTTATGGTGTGGCACATATAAATGCTGTGTATATATGTGTGTATATCTATGTATATAAGAGATAAAGCAAAAATAGCAAAATGTTATCAGTTGTTGACTCTAGTTAGAGAATATATGGGTAATCACTATACTATTCTTTCAACTATTCTGTATGTTTGAAATTTCTTAATTAAAAGTTGAGGGAAATTTTTGAAAGTTAAGCAGCAAGAAAGATTGAGGCAAAGCTGTTTTTTAAAATAAAACTTTTTATAATGGAAATTCAAATATAAACAAAAATAGAGAGACTAGAACCCCTTGTGACCATCATCAATTAATAGGTTTCAACTCGTGACTACTCTGGTTTCATCTCCCCCTCACCCCCTTTGCTTCCCCCAGATTACCTCTGAGACAAATCCAAATGTCATACCATTTCATTCTTACATATTTCAATGCATACCCTTAAAAGAAAGATTCTCTCTAAAAAATTATAACTTGGTACTACATCACATCTAAATCAACGAATGATTCCTTAGTATAATCAATCACATATCAAATCAGTCATTAAGTTTCCTCGAATGTCTCATAAGTGGCTGATATTTTTAAACAGTTGGTTTGTTTAGTCAGATTCCAAATAAGGCCTACATATTGCATTTGGTCCATGCATCACTTATGTCTTTTTTTCTTTTTTTTTTTATCCATAGGTTTTTCTCTCTCCTCCCTTTCTTCCTTCCTTTTTTTCTCTTACAATTTCTTTGTGATAGAAATCAGGTTATTTACCCTGTAGAGCTTCTCACCGTCTGAATTTTGCTGATGATACTCCCAGAATGCAGCTTAACACGTTCCGCTGCCTCCCGCACTTAGCTGTAATGGCGATGAGATCTAGAGTCTTGAGTATATTATGATCATGTACTCCCATGATGAGGCACATATTTCCGGTCGTCTCTCTTTTTGTGATGTTAGTAACCATTGATGATCATCGCTTAGATCCATTATTTTAGGCAATTTTTTTCTGAAAAGGGCCAGACAGCAAATACGTTAGGCTTTGTGGGACATGGCTCCATCACAACTGCTCAGCTCTGCCACTGCAGCCTGAAAATAACCATAGACAATATGCAGAAAATAAGCATGACTACGTTCCAATGAAACTTTATTTACAAAAACAGGCATCAGGCTGCAGTTGGCCTCTGGGCTATAGTTTGCTGACCCCTACTTTATCCTGATATATGGGTTTTTGGGTTTTTTTTTTAGAAAACAAATACTAATACTAAATGAACAATAGGATTACTGAAAACAGTTTAAGATTCCTTCGCTTGTGTTTTTGTTCTTAGGATATATTCTGTTAAGAATATTCAGACAAATTACCGTGTTAAAGTCCCATGAAGTAATTCTGTGTGTGCTAATGCCACCAACTCGATAGACAAGATCATTTGTTTCATTTTCTTTTTAGACTTTAGGGATTTTATTCCTTTGTTTCATTTTATAATTTTGAGAAAAACTGAGATGGTCTCAAAGTCAAATATGCAAAACAAAGCATATTTGGAGAAGTCTGTTCCTAGCCCTCCCTACTCTTCCTTGTACCTGATTGGAACACATGGAAATTTTACTTATAGGTAACCATTTTTCAAAATTTTATGGTATAGTCCTTCCACTTGAAAAAAAAAAAGCAAATACACACATACGCACACACTTTTTTGAAATAAATAGTAGCATACAACACATACCACTTTATCCACTTTTCTTCTTGTAACAATATATCCTGGAGATCACTCCACAGGATATATACAGACATGTTCTGCCTTCCTTTTTATAGCTTATAATACTTCATGTGTTGATGTGCCAGAGTTTATTCAACCAGTTCTCTATTGATAGACATTTGGCTTGTTTCCAGTTGAGTGAAGACGGTCTTTTAAATCACAGGAACAACAAAATCAAATGGACAGAGTTTTAAAATGATTATTTGTAATTTTTCCAATATTTTCCAATTTATAGAAGAAGGAAAAGACATGAAATGACCCCAGATGCCAGCCGACAGTCACATGATAAGAAAAATAAATTGCAGGACAGATCTAAGCTAAGAAAAGCACAGTCACTGGTGAGTATTGCTTACAAAAGATTACCCACCATAACATTAATGAAAATCTCTGTGTCTCTAACCCTAGTGCAAAATCGAATTTGTATTTTTAATCAGAATCTTCAAGTTGTAGTTTAAATCCTAGTCTCTGATACTGACTGACAAGCTGTATGACTTTGAAGATGCCCTTTATTTAATCTCTCTGTTTTATCATCTGTTTAAGAAAACAACAAAAAAAAGCCTAGATGAACTGATGAGTATGACTCTGCTTTGAAGATTATACAATATAAAGAGAACATTATTGTCATTTGGTTCTTTCTTCTGTTATGAGTCCTTTGGGGTGGGGAGAGAGGGGCTATAGACATTTCTCTACAGAAATTACTTATCTATAGAGCAAAGGTTCCACTGACCTAAGAAAAAGGTGTGCTTTCCATAGCTTTCCTGCTGCCAGTGGAACATGATTATAAAAGTGCATTCATTTCAAGTAACTTCAGAAAAAGTGAATTAAGAACTTTT